AGCTAGGCCCTGGTTCTTGGCTTTGCTCTTCAAACTCAACATGTCCAAAATGAAAGACACCATGTGCAGAACTAAATTCTTCTTCCTCCAAACCCACCGCATTCCTAGCGTTCCCACTCAGTGATCGGTACCCTCACCCACCCAGGTGCCCGGCCTGCCTTAGAGATTCAGCCTCCCTCTCGCTTGCTCAGAATCACCTTTCTAACATTCAGATCACACCCTGACTCCCCACTTCCTACCAACCTTCAAAAACTCTCTGTGGCGTTTAGCACAAATGCCCTTCATTTTTACATAGGAAACTCCGGGACCTGCCCCCTGCCTGTCCCACCACCCACTGCTCACCCCCATGATAATCACAGAATCACATTTATTGAGTGCACTGTTCCAAACACGTCTTGCACTATATAGCTCATGGAAGCTTCCTAACACCCCACGAGACAGGTACAGAGAGCCTATACAATTGCCCAAAGACACACAGCTGGTGGAACCAGGATAATAGAAGGGTCTTAAAAAAACAGTTTCCTACAGGATGGTCAAATATAAATCTGCCTCTGAATTAGAATCAATCATCAGAATTAAGCCCTCGCTGGGTAGCTCAGCTGGGTAGAGCATCGCCCCGATACGCCAAGGTTGTGGGGTCACTCCCTGGTCAGGGCCCCCTTCCTTTGTCTCCCGAAAACAAATAAATAAATGATCAGAATGAACCACAACAGCCCAAACAAAGGGGTGTTTCCATTCTCTATGAGCAGCAGTTTGTAGCCCAGGAAATGCAGGAGAGCATCCTGCGGAAGGGGGGCCTTGTCCCTGTTTCCTGATCCCGCTTTCTGGGGACTCGCTTCAGGTTGGCTTCGTTGGGCGCTTTACGCCCCGTTTGCTGAGTTTTGGTCACAAGGGGGAGCTATGTTCTAACTTAACCGCAAAGACTACTAAGGAGAAGTCCCAAGCTGTGAAAAACCGGTCATATTTCTATTCCTCTGTTTCTTCCTTTCCCTTTTCCCCCCCAAATGTCTTCTTGGTTTTTTTTCTTTTTAAAAAAGACATCTGTGATTGATAAGTTAATTTTCCAGTGATCAGAAGGATTCTTTGAAAGAATCACCATTCGATAGAATTAACACGATGCTCTTGTAAGTTATTTTAAATGTGAATGTCTGTGTCCTAATTAACTTTCTAGTTTTAATTGGACACAAAAAAATAGAGCAGAGGGGCGTGTGTGTGTGTGTGTGTGCATGTGCGTGTGTGATACACAAGTGTGCATTTTATACAAGGGATCCTTGTCAGGCTGGGACACCCCATCCATGTTTCAATGTTAAATTCAATTTTTGTTTTCTCTCTGGAACTTCCCCTGTCACCATGTAGCAGACCTAGTGGCTCCCTTCTCTATGTTCAATTCTATTGCTCCTGTCACAACTCATTTCTCTCCATCCCATTCGAGCGGGAAGCACCATATAAATGTGGTGAGAATAGGAACCGACGGCTGTATTCCCAGAGCCTGGCACACTGCCTGGCCAGTAGAGCGGGCTCCATCGATGCTTCCAATTCACCTCTGTATCCTTAGTAACTAGCATCCTGCTGGAGACATGGCAGGAGATTAACAAGTGTATATGAAATTAGACAATATTACATTTGCTACTTCCTTGTGATGAAGGTGACATAGTTATAAGATGTGATGGGGGGAAAGGATGCCATTAAGACAATGGGAACATTCTCGTGGTGCTAAGAGATTGGGCCCTGGCCAAACTCTCTACATCAACTGCTAAATTGAACTCAGAGTCATCTGTGCCACAGTGCTGGCCTTACGTAAAAAGCTGCCAACAAATTAGTAATTCAAAAAAAGCTATTTTCAATAGAAAATATTTCATTAATAACACACTTCCCGTTAGTCCTAGTGGCTAAAAGTTATCTGGCCAAGTTAGACCTCGCCAGCGCTTAGGAGTTGACAGGGTTTGGGCTGTCAAGTTCTGGATTCATCTCAATAAAATTCACCACTTTTTGTACATTAGATGTACAGACACTGTGATAGTGTGGGAATGATCCTCAAGCAGCTGGCAGATTAATGGAAGAGGCAGACACATAAATAAATACAAAATGTCCAAAATGGGACAGATATAAAGGGCTGAGGGCCGGTGGGAATATGGACTCGTGTATTACTTTAACACTTCCTCCTATTTGGAAAAAACTTTCTTCCTACAATTTGAGCCCCAAATTTGTTCATGCCAGAATTATTACATGACCACTTTGAGAAACAAAAGGAGAGGTGTTAAAAATTCTAAACTTTACGTGAGCATTTGCTTTTCTTACAAATAGGCTGTCCTTCATTTCTTTAGAGTTCTAACCTTTATTTCAAAGACAGCATTGGAACCCATAGCTTACATCTGCTTCCTTGGAAAATTTAGTTCTTACTATTGTTTTCAGGTCTAAAGCAGTGAAGTCATGTATATTTAAAGAGAGCCAGAAAGTAAACATAGTACACTACATACAGTGTACTTTGCTACTACAAACTATCTATGACTTTATCACTCTAGTAAGAATTTCTCCTTTCTCTGACCTCACTGTCTCTTCGTTTTATAATTTACTTTAAAACCATTTTAAATTGCTATCTGTGCTTATACTTTCTCTCTGAGCCAAACGGCAGGAACCATATTTTACTGGTCTTTATATTCCCTACCCGCTGATATTTGGCAAGTATCAGGCCTTAGTGAGTGACAGGTGCAACGGAGTGAAGGAGCGCTGGGCTTTGAGTAGGGTGGCTGTGCTCACCTCCTGGCACCCTGCTGATTGACTGTATGCCCTTGGGTAGGTCACATAGCCTCTCTAAGCCTGGTCACCCATCTACAAAATACAAGCATGGCGCCCACCTTCAGGGGCCATTGGCAATACTAACAAGATGATACAGGTAAAAGCAAACCACTGCAAAATCACAAGATATACTATCATCCTGATAAACACGTACGACATTGAATATTTCATTCCTGTCTCTTATGGGGATCAAAAAAGGCCACAAAACACTATGAATTTCAGAGGTTATTTATATTTTTAACTAACAAAACAAGTTTCTTTGGTTTGTGAGATGTTACTGCTCATTTCTTTGATGTTAAAATGTAAACTCTTTCAGTGTTAGTGAGCCTATTTCAGTCCTATCATATTTCATGGTATTATATGATTATTCCTATTTTTAATAAAAATTCCACCTGAAAGACCTAATTCTCATAAAACTACATTAGGAATAAAGAAATTGATGCACTAGAATTATGTAGAAATAACCACAGGTTGTGTCCGATGTATGCTCTGAAGCCTCAGTGAACATAAATAAACACTACAACCCTCATTAAGTAAATGTATCTCAGGAGACAGTATCTTTGTGCATGTCATTGGGATTTAATAATAGCAAACAAAGGAGTATGGATTTGGAGAACAAGAAAAGAAATTTCACATTAAAGAGTGTGTGGGCATAAACAGGGTAACTGACATTATGTTACTGTGAAATTAAATGTACAATAGAAGTAAGAATCTTTGCATAAGAATGAAAAGTTATTCTGAAAGGTCATCTCGAAAGACCAGGTTTTTATATGGTGTGTGGAAGAGGCAAGATTCTGAAAATCCACTGGGAGAAGCAAATTCATAAATATGAATAAATAGAACCGTCATGATAGATAATAAGATACTAATCGGCATGTGAATCTGGGTGCTTTTTATTTTCACAATACGTGGTTGATGTTTGGGTAAAGCGTCTTATGAACTAGAGGCATGCGTATTTATTTATAGAGACATGCTGGAAAACTTCATTTTTCAAATTTTCTGACACTCGTAGAATCAGGTTCTGAAATTTATGTTATCCAGCAAGGAATTTTTTTATTACATATTTTTAACCTATAAGACCCTCAGCACTTCTCACCTCGTTGCTGCGTTGGTCTCTTCCCAGGTCTCTCTGCTGCTTGTCTCAGTCTCTCTAAACTTCCCTTCATATTACTGCTAGAAAGATCTCTCCACAGCACATCTACAGTCATGTCACGTCTGGTCGGAATATTACACAGGTGCCCCCTTACACAAGGAATAAATTAATCTACTTTTGTGGCATTCGGTGCCATTAATAATCTCGCTCTTGCCCGGCCGGGCATGGCTCAGCGGTTGAGCGTCGGCCTAGGGTCCAGGCGATCGGGGTTCGATTCCCGGTCAGGGCACATGCCCGGGTTGCGGGCTCGATCCCCAGTCGGGGGCGTGCAGGAGGCAGCTGATCAATGACTCTCTCATCACTGATGTTTCTCTCTCTCCCTCTCCCTTCCTCTCTCTGAAATCAATAAAGATATATTTTAAAAAAAATAATAATCTAGCACTTACTACAATTTCAGCTTCATAAATATTATTTTCTAATTATATTGAAGTACATGTGAGTTCTATTCATGGTTATTCTGTCATTCCTTCACATCTTTGCACTTTCTACACTATTATATGATAATGCAGTACATCTTGGAATGCGTTTCTCAGACTTTTGAGGCTTGACAAGTTTCCAGTCATCCTCCATGATTCAGTTGTTAACTTTGCAAGCCTTTCTGACTCACCCAATAGACTCGCACAGGAAGGCAGGGATTGTCACAAGGAACAGGGCTGAGCCAAGTTCCTAGAATTTGATGGAATTTGGGCTCCCCAGAGTTTGCTGAGTCTGGGGCAGGACTGGACCTGTTGGGGTGAGTGAGTGGTTCTATACTCAGAGGAAAACCATCTTAAAAGAAAATAAATGGACTAGACTCATAGCTTCAGATAATCATCCATCCATCCACCTATCCATCCGTGCATCCAATTATCCATTTCACAAATATTTGTTGGAACCTACTACAAGCCAGGCATGCACTAGGTACCTGGGATAAAATACTAAGTCAAAAAGAGGCATTCCCTGCCTATGGAGTTTTTAATATCAAATCCATGTGATACTGTAGCCAAATATTAAAGTTACACAGGATTTCAAAGCGGTCAAACTAGTTATGGGCTCTATTTCAACAGCTTTTAACAAAAAAAGGGCATATAGCTAACAAGCGGTGGAGCCTTGATTCAAGCCAGGTTCTTAATCACCACTGTCTCGTGATGTATAAACCAAGACGACATCGACCAGAGTAAGATCCTTTGATAGCTAAAGAGACATATCTATAAAATTAAAAATATTTTGTCACATGAGTCATCACCCATTTTTATCTTATTAGTTTTTAAAAAACGAGATTTGACTCATGGTTTTCGGAAACAGAGCACTGTCGCAGTGCATGGGAACCAGGACCGAAGAGCCGGCCGGGTTAGCTGGAGAGGCTTCCTCCGCGACAGGCCGCGGCCTCAGCCACCTTCTGCAGAGAGAGCCACCGATCTACGCTCAGTAGCCCGAACTATGAAAAGTCAGCAGTTTGGATAAATGGATAATATGAACTATCGATCACTCATTGCAACTTTAAAATCAGGACACTTGCCCGTTAATTAGTAACTACTTACTGCCTTGCCTTAACCGATGGGCATAAAGATCTCGTTCAGCCGTATGAATAAGTGCTGGAGCTCTGCTGTGCGACACTGTGCCTGTCGTCAGCAACACCACCTAAACATTTGTTAAGAGGGTAGACCTCATGTTAAATGGTCTTACCACCATAAAATAAAATTAAAAACCAGGACATTTAAGTAGTTGGCCAAGTGACTGGCTAAACCATCAATCAGAAAAAGTTTATTGAGAAGATTTGGTTGAGAAGAATTGAAAGAAAAGCACTAAGACTTGTAGAACCGGATGGTGCCTTAGAGGTTCCCTGGTTCAACCCTCCTCCCTTACCTCCAGTCTCCTGCACACACACACACACACACACACACACACACACAC